GTCTAGAATATCATTTCTTTATATTTTTCTAGCATGTTTAGTCTCCAAATGAGGAGCTAAACTTCCATTTCTTGGTGTTGCTCTTGAAGCTTGTTGATTATTAAAGTTGTGAGTTATTTTCTTAACTTCTTCCCTTGAATATTAATTATTAGTTCTTTCCTTAATACTATCTCTATATTAATGTTGGGGAGTGTTGCTAATAAGATGACATATAGTTAACATCTTGACATTAGTTAGAGTAGTATTTTCTTCCTCTATATTAATATTGGGGAGTGTTGCTAAGATGACAATTAGTTAACATCTTGATATTAATTATAGTAGGATTCATCTCCTTTAATAATATTCTTCCTTGAATATTAATTAATTCCTATTCATATTTCATATTAATATTTTGAACATTACTTAAAGGATCAACTAGTTTTGTTTCATATATTAATTAGAGATAATTACCCTAAATATGACTAAAACTCAACGAGTTTCCCAATCTACGACCTGACTTGTTTTTTTACCAAAATAATATTAAAAATCATAATATTTAAATAAATTTCGTAATTAATAAATAATAAATAATTTTTTTTTGACAAATATGCCCTTTAGCTTATACCTATAAAACCCTAACCTCCTCTTCTTTTTCTACAACCCTAGCTACTATCTTCTAACACCCACCCGCGCAGCCACCTCGTTGTCCAACGTCCAGGGCCGCCGCCCACCGTCCAGGGCCGCCGCCCACCGTCCAGGTCCGCTGCCCACCGTCCAGGGCCGCCGCCTTTCACAGAAGCACGATCGGCGGCCACAAGTGCAATCAATCGTTTGCTTGGCCGACCACCCCGCCCCACGTCTTCTCGTCGCAGCCACCGCCAGACCGTTGCCTGCGCCCGCCGCCGTCCTGATCCGTGGGTGCCTCCATTGTCCCGGTCTATGGGCGCTGGCCCGCGCCGCCGCCCAGCCGCCCGACATCTTTTTTAATTTTGGATCCACCGTTGGAGTGTGTCTAAAACCGAGCAAGGAGGGGGGAGTGCGGCGCAAGATCGTCGCTGCAGAGGAGGACATACGGTGAAGTTGAGCGAGGAGCGTTCGTGTTGATTTCCTTTTCATGTCGATCTGTGTTTGCCTAGTTTGTGTTGTGTAGTGGTGGTATGTAGCTAGATTACGAGTGGTAGAGAAATAATGGGAAAAAGTGAGCTCAAGTGGTGGCCATTCGTTGAACGTTGAAATGTACTAATATGTGCAATGAATATTATATATGGGCAGTAGGCATTGAAATTACGAGTTTCTGAAATTAGGGTTTGTAGCATTAAATATTGGCAGTAAATATGGGCAGTGAATATGATAACAAATATTGTTGAGTATGGTAAGTCAATTTAGGATTTGTGAGCATTAATTATGAGCCTTGAACATTGACCAGTAGTGCAGTAACACAGAGCAATAATTTCGTCATGAAATGCAATATACTTAATTAGACGTAAAATAATAAATTTATTAAATCTAAAAAAATAAAAAATAAAAACTATAAATAATTTTGTAAAGTGAATGAGAAGAAAATTAATTTTGATAGAAGTGGATTGATTATTACCGGATGTGCAGTAATGTCGTATTGTCGTGCAGTAATGTCGTGAAATAACAACAATATAAAGTGCAGTAATTCGAATTGGACAAAATTAGTGCAAAATGCAAATATTTTAAATAAGGATGTTTTCGTCATTCAACACTTAAATATAAACGATTTTTTATTTTTTTATGTATTTTTAGTCATACAAAAGTCCAAAAACTAGTTAGGTCATAGATTGGGAAACTCATTGAGTTTTAGTCATATGTTATGAAATTTCCCTATTAATTATTACTAGAAACGATCGACGAACCGATGGTTAATCATTGATGGTTTCACAAGTAAGTAACTTCGGTTTATTAATGCACGGACATGGTTGATAAACTTAAGAGAGATTAATTTTGTTGGTTAAACCGAAACGTTGTGTTGAGGTTATCAATCTCAATTGATTTCATCAAGGAGTTAAGAGACTAAATGCTACTATCAAGTCTGTATATGGCGGTGTTCTATACTTGACTAATAGTAAGGGTTATTAATGAACGGTCGTTGTTAATAACTACCCTCGATGAATTGGATATACTCCTCGATTGAGTATTCGAGAGGGAATAAGTTATAGATATAACAATGATCGACTAAAATATATCAACAAGTGGAAAGTAGCAATGCCAAGTCCTTTTTATCTTTGAATTAAATCTCATATAAGTCGTTCATCTTCGTATTTAATTAAATTAAATCACTCAATCCCAAAACCCCCATTATTTACTAGTTTTACTAAAAAGAGAATTATTCATTTCCCTGTGTATACGAACTCTACTTCACCTATACTACGTATTAGTGTTAGTATTGAATTTATTTTGACGCACCGTGACAAAGTGCTCGCAGGCTTCTCGTCAAATTGTCAAAGGAAAAATACTCCTTCACTTTCTTTGAAAGCTACAATTGCCCTATGTTCAATCTATATCTTCAATCGAATCACATCAGAACATCCTATCTTTTCTGTTCCTATGAGTATTAGATGTCTTAGGATTATTTTCTCTAATTTTTATACATATATTCTTCTACATGTAATTATTTCTTGAACTTTCAAATAGTATTTATATTTATATATAGTAAATGGTTGTATACAATCATCAATTGATCGAATAAATTAATACGGAGTACTATCGTAGAAACCATCATCGATTATATTTTGCTTCATTTTTTAACTTTAGTTTCTTACGATTGAATTGTTAGCTGAAATTTGATATGAGTAAACTAGACTTAATAAATAAGATTCTAAAAAAATTAAGAGCTTATTTGACATTTTTTTGTTAGTACGTGGGCTTATTTGTTTCTTTTCCCTAAAAAAACATTAAAATTCGATAAAATGCACTGTCAGATTTAAGATTTTTTCTTTGAAAATTACAATCACGACATTCAGCTATATATTATGCTGTCATTATGCACATGGCCACATTCCAACGAAACTGTTGTTTACACGACATTACCTCTTCGAGTAAGGCAACCATAAATTCAGTCGTGCCAAAGGGGTTTCATTACTTTTATGGTCGACCATTTTGGTTGAATCTTTTCGAAGAAGAGAGCGCGCGATGATGGAAAGTAGCTACTTATTCTTCAATCTTCAATTTTTCGCTAATTCAACAAAACATAAATGTTTTTACTTGAATTTATTTTAGTCCCAACCAGTGAAGGATCCAGGAAATGAATTTATTGGGGGCAGATCGGGTATTAAAAATACTTATGAAGAATATAAAATAGTAAATTATCATCATATTATTATTACAATAGTAAACGTATAACAAAAGACATTACAATTGTTCTTGCCGAGTTTTCATTTTTTTATTTGAAGTGATTCGTTACAGTTTTACTTAACATTTTTCTTAGAATATTACTGAAATGTAATTAATGGATAAAAAAACGTCTAGAGTTACTGTGTGTGTACATTGCTTCATAATCACGTGTAAAATTGAATACAAAAATAATCCTACTTAACTAAAAATTACGGAGTACTATTTCAGTTTTATCATACAAGGTCACATTTTCTCATCATCTTTATTTTAGTCATATATTTCGTACATATATCATTATTGCTTTATTTAACTATCTAGAATAATAACATACTCTATCCGTCCCTTAAAATTTGGTCAAATTTGACTGGCACAAAAATTAATAAAGAAAAAATTGTGTGGTTGAGATTTGCGCAAATGAGAGATGATTAACGGGAAACTCAAATTCTTTACTTAAAAGAGAAAGTGACAAAGTTGACAAAATTTCAAGAGACGGATGAAGTACTATTTACATTTTGAATTTCTATGTATTTAAATGACTTCTTTAAAAAATGTATCTAACTGACATTTGCTAGTCATCCATTTGAATTTAATCTAACAGAAATATTATTAACCCTTACAATTGCTAGTATGTACTGATGTACATTTACTAAATTACCATTTTTAGTAATCACTAGCCTTCCAAGAATATATTACATACTGAATAATGGATATATAAGGGTTAATACTACATTGAGTCTCACTATAATAAATTAATAAATTTAAAACAACATGATTAATATTAATATAGAAGTAAGAATTAATGTAAAGCATTAATCAACATACGGAAGAATGGGGTAGCGGGTGAGTCCAAAATCTCATTTTGAGATTTAGCCATTTCCGTTGGGGAAGAAGACTATTGGGGGCAGTCATATTTTTTAATTGGGGGCAAAAAATTAGTCTTTTAATAATTTGTAATAAGATATATGAGTTTAGTGGAAATCTATTGGGGGCAGCTGCCCCCCCTATTCCCTTACTGCATCCGCCCCTGGTCCCAACCCAAACCAGTTGTAAAATATATAGAGATCAGAAATCTATCAAATTACACAAGTCCAGATCAGACGATATTTGATAAGATCAGACCAAACAAGAAAATTTTAATCCAAGTAAAAGCACCACACAATTCAAAGAAAACTTCATCAATTTCTTAAATTCACAAACATCGAGAGATTTAACCGTTAACTAAATACTCCGTATTTATTTATTCAGAAGAGCTCTTAGGATGTTTTTACTTGGACAATTTTCAGTCTTAGATCAAATTAGATCAGAATAAATAAAAAAAGACTTAAATCGTCTGGGATCGGACTTAAAAAGACCAAATCAAATCATATTTTAACAATTGTAAAATACACTTGGACCACGCATCTATCAGATCGAATCAGACTAGACCAATTTAAATAGACAGAAAACTTTTAGTTAATTAAAAACATTTCATTATAGGCTCTCTTGTAGGGAGGTCTTGACTACTAAATTTCACAGAAGTTTCAGCTTCAGGAGACCCCTACCCTTGCTCCTCACGCAAAAAAAAAAAAATCGGTTTGTAAACATAATTTACATAATCAAGCTAACTACCTCGTGGGCCCCACGTTAATTACAACTTCTATATGTACTCCTTGCTTGAAGTTCCACGCAACCACACCCATTTTGAATTCAACTTCCTCTTTACTCCCAAAAAGAATAACAAATTGCGTAGCAGAAAATTCAAAAATGGAGAAGGCTAAGCAAATGCTTCGATTTCTTGGAAATTCGGGAGAGGTGGCCGGATCTGGTTCCGTCATCGACGAATTCGGCTTCGTCGAGGATTTGTCTTCCTGGGAATTCGTGATCCCCTCCGACGACGACGAGGAAGCCTACTTCTTCAACGATGAAGTCCTAGACGGAGACGACTACAACCCTGGGATGAAACAAGAAGACACCGTTCTCGAATTCGGGATAAAACAAGATCGCTCGTGCCCGGTTGGTTCCCCTTCTTCCGGCGCATCCATGGAATCTCCCTCGCCTGACCAGATCTCTGTCCCACTTGATGTTGCAGCTGTCGCGCTTGTGGAGTACGGAAGTGGTAGCGCTTATGGGCCTGATTGCGGTGTTGAAGAGGAAGACGAGGAAGATGATGATTACGATCTGGATGATGAGTTAGTTCCTTATTGGGATAGCTATACGTTTGGGAAGCAGAGGACGAAGAAGCTGAAAAAGATGACATGTCCAAGGATGAAGATCCAGAGAAGGTTGCCCTACTATTACAACAAGCCTGGGGCTATCTGGAAGATAAGGTGATCAATGATTTGAGTTCTTGACCGCCTGGTTCCAATTAGAAGATAAGTACAACTGCTGGATATAGAATTTGTTTAATTCTGTGAGCTATGAGTGCTGCTATTAGTTGTGTGTGTGTGTTCATTCTGGGCAATGCAATCTTTAGTACTCCGTAGAATGTAAGTATTTTGTGCACATACTTGTCTTGGTATGATCAAAGTATGTCATTATCTCACGCACTTCTGTGATATGCAATGTCTAAGGATGAAGAACAGGGATTGGAAAAAGGTTGCAATATATTCTAACTTCTTTCATATGCAATTAATGCCCATCATTTATGTTATAAAAGTTAACTATTGATCTCATCCTTTTTTCTTTTTTCTTTTTCTTATCTTCTTTATTTTTTATCTTATTTTTTCATTTTTATATTATCGTCTTTTTACCATTTTAGCTGTGGTTTAGTATGTCTTTAGACTTTAGTTGATCCCAAAATCTTTTGGAACAAAGCATTGCTTTGATATAATACGTAGTATGTCTTTAGTTGATCAACTCTTTTGGATCAAAGCATGGGCGGAGCAGAGGCGGCTCGAGCATTTTGGAGGCCCCAGACGAAAAATATTTACCATGTACAAATTACTTTTAAAATCAGATAAATTGAATAAAAATCGCTTTATGAAAAAAAGCATATTCAAAGTCCACGATATAATGTTTGTAATATTCAAAAGGATAAATTTTAAAATGCAAACTTATTCAAGACACAAGGCAAATTTGTACTTGTAAAAGTAATAAAAGACTTCAAGAACGAGACTCAGAGAGAAGAGCTCAAGAGTCTTAGTTGATTCACTAACTAAGGACCCATGTCGATGACGGGCAGTGAGGCATATATACAGTAGCCGATTAGCGGTCTGTGTTGAACGTTGATGCGTGTTGAGATCGGCTTTTAATAGTTTTTCGTAACTTTAAGGTGTCATAAGTCTCAATTTTAAGCTCAAGTCATATTTACCGGCCGTTGGTTCGAGTTTTGGTATTTTTGGAGTCAAAATCACGGAATTTGAGCCTGTCACCGGTGTTTGAGAAGCAATAGGGACGAGTTGAGAAGCATTTTAGAGTTGATTAGGAGCATTGGAGATCAGTGAGGTGTTAAAGACAAAGTTTTGAAGACAAAAGAGCTCTAGAATTGGCTACGGGATCAAAAGAAGACGAATAGAGCTTGAAAACAACGGTCAGGATGACGTTCTGTCAATCGTACAAGCATATCTTTTCTTAGCAACATCCAAAAAACATGATTCAAGTTTCATATGAAAGCCAACTTCAAGGGATACAAATCATATGAAGACACCATTGTGAGAATCGGAGAGAAGCAAGGTGAAAACAGACGATGAAGTCAGACAATCTCTGTTGAGATTTCAGAATGCGACCTTCCACCATTTTATTCATATATTTTTATTGGATGATTCAAATCCAGTTTTGCAAATTGTGTTGGATAGAAGATTTCATTAGCTACAACTTTGATGAAGGATGAATAGTCAAAACTGAACTATAAAGCTGATTTCTGCTTGCAGTTGCCGCTTGGTGTATTGGCGGTCTGCGAATAACACCTAATACTAATATCCGAGTAGAATTTTTTGGAGGCCCCCTTGGTAGTTGAGGCCCAAGGCAGTTGCCTGGCCCAACTGCCCTCAAAGCCGCCCCTGGGGCGGAGCTAGGGGTGGACCAACCTAGTCCATGGCCCACTCCAAATTTTAAAAATGGCTTAATTTTTAAGGTAAAAAATTTCGTGTAATTTTTTTTAAAATATTCTTTGTACTGGCTCAGTGTCCTGGCTCCGCCCCTATCATCAAAGTATTGAATATTGTATTTATATAATGAAAGTGCTTGCACTATCATATGATTAACATTGAAGTTCTGATATGTTTCTTCACTAATACTTAAGTCACTTAAGTATTGATTTTATTTTGAGACGACGACTATAATGCTGTCACTTTAATGTCGTCACTTTAATGCCGTCACTTTCCAGGTGTTATGAAACCTTCCATTGACACTAAATTTGTGTCACTATAAGGCGGTTTTTTACCATTGCATATGTAGTGATTAAAAAGTCAAAAGAGATATTTATGATTAGTATTACTAACATTTTTTGTTATACCATGAATATGCACCTCACTAACCATTCATATATATATATATATATATATATATATATATATATATATATATATATATATAACATTTTTTGTTATATGATTTTTATATTTTCCAACTCACCATACATATATATGTATAATCATTGATACTTTTAACGAGAAAATAAATAAAATACCCCCAGAAGACCCTCGTTCCTGACTTCACAGAAAATACAAGAGACGATGACAAAGCGAGCTAAAACAACAAGTTTGCTGCCTAAGAGTCGCGTTTCAAAGTAAGTTGATCTGATATGATTACTTTGGAGCTTGTTGTTCATAGATTAGGGTTATAATTGTGGCGGAATATGGAGGTGAGCCATTTTATTCAAGAAGTCGAAGGGAGTGAAGAGAATGAGTTTGAAATTGTTCAAAGAGAGGATATTTGTAGTGGTGGTTCTTCAAGTGATGAGGAATGGATTGGTAGATGAAAAAGATTAGTTGCTACAATTCTTGCTTGGTGAAGATCAATTTGATGGATTTGAACTATTTTATGATAGTTGCTACAATTCCTACTTGCTGTAAATTATTTGCTCACACCACCTGAAAGTGAGGATGAAGGTGAGAGCAGTGTTGTCAACCCAGGATAGCGGAGCGTAGCGATCAGTCATGAAAACGCTATAGCGGATAGCGGGATGACTGCTATTCAGACTACCTTCAAGTATAATACATAATTAACTAGAAGCATATAATTACATTGTATACACATTAGTAAAGTATGATATATGCCATTGAAAGTTGCAAACATCTTATCTTAAATCCTAAATTACTGGGAAATATTCCTTAGTTTTATGAGTAAGACATACAATAGTATTAATGATTAAAACATATTAAGTTATAACATTGAATCAAAAAGAGTTCATGATTGAAGCCTTGATAAATTAATAGTCTATCAGTCTACCACTAGAAAGAAACAATGAGGATTCTAGCATGTGTCATTCTTGTACAAGATGAAGGAGCACATGGCGTTCTTGAAAAAAGATGGAGCAAAGATTTTGTTGAAGTAGAGGTCATCGCAAAGCAGAGAGAAAGTTGCTTACCTGTGAGTTTTTAAGGGTTCTACACTTCTGTGTATGTGTACAAGGGTTTTAAGTTTCTTACTATTTAGTTTTAGAAGTCTAGTTTACCCTTGTGCATCTGCAGTAATAAAATAAACACAAAAAACCTAGCAGACCTTTGATCGCAAAAAGCGCCCCTATAGCGTCCGCCCCTCTACATGTTTAGCGCCCGCTAAGTCCGCTACACCCAAACGCTCCGCTACAAGAAGTCTAGTAGCGCCAGACTTCTCCTCCGCTCCATCGCTATAGTGCCGATATAGCGCACGATTGACATCACTGGGTGAGAGTGGTGCGAAGGAGAGTGTTACATACAAGGTTAATAATGATGCTACATTCAAAATGTTAATATGGAAAGTGGGGATGAAGTTTGCTTCACTTGAAATTTTCAAAAAACATGTTGTGAAGTATGTTGTAATTGCAGGGTATAACATTAGATTTAGTAAAAGTGAAAAAGTGAAGCTTGTAGACAAATGTAAAGAGAAATGTGTTTGGAGAATATATGCTTCTTGGGACGGACTTAAAGAGTCATTTGTTGTGAAGTCTTTGAATCCTAACCATATGTGCAATAGACAAGATTATGAGAATACACATGCTAAACCAAGTTGGTTGGTTGAAGAGTATTTGGAGGACTACAGAAAAAATCCTAATTGGCCTAGCAAATCTCTACAACAATCTGTGATGGAGAGATTTGGCGTGCATATTCAGAGGTTTGCTTGCTATAGTGTAAGAAACAAGCTCACGAGATGTTACATGGGCTTTAAAAGGACACTACAGTAAACTTGCTTCATACTTGGCGGAGATGAAGAGAGTTGATCCTAATTTGACTTCAGTACTCCTCATTGACAAGCCCAATATTCCTAGAAAACCAGATATATTTAAGAGACTTTATGTCAACTTTCTGGGATTGAGAGATGAGTTTGTAAGTGCATGCAGATTTGTGCTATGTTTAGATGAATGCTTCCTAAAAAACATTTCTAGGCGAGATGTTGCTATGGCTGTAGGAAGAGACGAAAATAATCAAATGTACCCTGTTTCTTGGTGAGTGGTGGAGGCGGAAAACAATGATTCTTGGAGTTGATTCTTAGATATTTTAAAACACGATTTGCCTGGATTTGGTAGCGAGAACTCTACCATTTGTTTTGATAAACAGAAGGGGCTTTGTAATACAGTTAGAGAGCACTTTCCAGCTGCAGAGCATAGGAATTGTGCCAAGCATTTTTTTGGTCCCGGAGCAAACCACACGAGGTGGGGGAAGTGCCGGGGAACACTTCCTAATTTTATTGATAGAAGTTTAAAGATACAGGGGAATAAAGGATACAAGAGAGAAAAGGAAATTATTTAAAATAAAGAGGTACATTAGCACTTAAAGTGTCACACCCCAGACCACATTCGGGCCACGTAGACAACCGCCGTACAACCCGATAAGAACGACAACGGTTCATCCCTATTGAATTGTACAAGGCGTCTGATTGATTCTATTGCCAAACCGATTAGTAAATACATACAATCAACATCAATATCATAATCAAACAAATGCGGAAAGAATAATATGTTTGATACTTAGCCACACGTGGCAAACACGGGCACGCAGGCTCCAACTGTTTTAAAGAAAATATTGTTCGAAAATCCATGAGCAATTATAAATTTGAAATAAGAATGGAAGCACGAACCACGTCTCCCTTCTCGATCAATCACCCTAGGCAAAGGTGCAGGTAGTAGGACTCTAGCCTTAACCTGAAAAATGTGAGGACCCCCGAAGGGGTCAGTACTCCATAGAAGTACTAGTGACAAGCAGGCTATATGAAGAATAACTAATGTTACAGACACGAGACCCAAAGATAGGGTGATACACACACACACACACACACACACACACACACACACACATATATATATATATATATATATATATATATATATATATATATATATATATATATATATATATATATATATATATATATATATATATATATATGACTCATCCATCCGATGATACATACGGTATATATATTTGTAAAATACTCAACCCGTAGGTCATTTCATTTAA